GCTGCATGAAAAAATGCAAAGCACAGAGGTCGACAGACTTCTAACCAGCAGGGAGAGTAAAAGTTGCTGTCACGCTTTAACGATGATACAGAACACTCCAAGCATAGAAGGGCCAGCAGGCAGCAGTTGCTCTTAATGTTGCATTTTCAACATTGATACAGTTGCTAATAATGTGCAGAATGAATTATGACTAGCTGATCCATTGTTATGATACAATAGTGAGCTATGGTAATTAATCAATAATCGTGATAAGGTAATGTGTGTTTTCTTGCAGGTATAGAACAAATCGATGCAGTTGTGTCGACAGTTGGGGGTGGGCCCATGGATGCCCGTGCCGACTCAGAGGGCAACATCAATCTCATAGAGGCAGCGGCAAAGAAGGGTGCTAAGCGATTCCTACTTGTGACCAGCATTGGAACGGGGGACTCGAAGGACGCTGTCGCCAAGCAGACATACGAGGTGCTGGAGAAGGTGCTCATCGAGAAGGAGAAGGCCGAGAGGCGGCTCAAGGTATATTAAGTGCGTTGAGACTGCCAGCTACCTCCTTGTATTGGTATGTTGTCCCTATTGAGTGGGGCTCTTTGTGCCTTGCTCTTGCCGGAATCCGTGGACTTCCCCTGAAAACGAGATTGTCTCTGGCAGTTTGATGGATTGGTTGTTTGACATTTATCCGTTACTCCCCAGTCACCCGCAAGGCGAATTATTCTTGGTATCTTTTTGTTAGAACGTTCCTGCATGGCTCAAGCTGTGTGCCAGCCCAAAAGATGGACAGCTGAAGCCCAGTGTGCATAGGATTGTGCCATTCATCTTGTTGTGTTCAGGAAATGCCATCGATTAGTTTCTGTTGAGGCATGCATGCACAATGTGTCATTTGGCAAGCTTGTGATGGCATCAATCGCTTTTTGCTTTAGGAGTTGTCTCTGGTAGTTTCCCTGCAGATCTGCAAAGATGGCAGGCCCCTAATGCTGGCAAAATGTGGGGGGCAAAGCACACCAGAGGTTTCACAACCTGGTCCCTGTTCCAAAACAATTTACAGTGCCAACACACGATTCTGGCAATGTTGGCAATTTAGTATCGATTGATGATTCACCTCAGACTCATGTATTGTGTGAAGTGCATATTCCTTGTTGCTGTAGTGTGGCAGAGCATTCGTCTACCCATATGTTATGTTGATATGTTATGATATATTGATCTATGATCAATATGCTGCTATGGTGGACTGGCATGGAGTTGTCCGTCTGCCGGCATGGACACATCTGTTTTTCCAACTGCTGCTGTTGCACTTATACTTCGCCTTACTTTACTGTGCTATATGTGCCGCGGCCCTGGATGCTGACGTGTCGTTCAATCAGCATCTTGACAGACCAATAGATCTATTAATGTGCTGATGACTGCTGCTTGTAGGAGCTCGGCTCCGAAATGGAGTATGTCATCATTCGTCCGGGTGGCCTGAAGAGTGAGCCTGCAACAGGGGAGGGCTTCCTCACAGATGATAACACCGTTTGTGGAAGCATTCACAGAGACGATGTGGCAAGCCTGGTGGTGGACGCTCTTTTCAGCGACAAGGCCACAAACAAGGTGGGGTGATCTTCACATGTGCCATTGGATGTGTCACAGAGCTCTCATGCCAGGGTTGACGATGATGGACGCAATGCCACAGTTCCACCGAGCTCCAGTGCTGCAATGCCAGGATGGGGTGACAGGAGTTCCTGTTCAGCACTTTCGAAAGTGCAGAACAAATGCGAAAATACTTCATTGATAGCTCAAGCTTGTGGTTAGTGCCACTGGATAGTGGAGAATATTGTGTATGCCACATGCCCTTCCTTCGATTGCATTTTCCGAGAGTTGACAAAACATTTCCATGCGCATGCAGCACGGTGAGGGGCATGTGTCCATCCACGGCGTTTTCCCATCTGTGCTCACTTAGGGTGTGCAAGTGATGTTTTTTGGAACGAAATGTGTCCAATTAGTTTGCAGCCATGACCATGTCTGCTGGGTTACTGTGTGCCAGTGTATGCCCACAACATCTTCTATGCCCTGTATACCACCCATTCCCCATCCACACACACACACACACACCCGCCTACACACTCTCCCACTCACCCACTCACCACAACAACACACATTCACACCCACTGGCTGGAAGGGAGAGGTTCGGGGTTGACAAATCATTGTAGGGGCGGGCCTTTCCGCGTCTCCTTGTCCACAGTTTCAAGGCTGCTGAAAGTACTTCAGTTGGCTGACGTTGACGTGTAGAATGTGTTTACATGTGACTGCCAGCAGCGGTTGCCACAGATGATAGTCACACGAAGCTTTGTGAGCAGTAGAGGCATACTTGAACATGCCACTTGGCGGAGTTGCCTTGGGCTATGGCTATGCAGTGCTTTCAGCAATCACTGTACTTCGCATGGGTAACATGCAGGTAACGCCATGTGCTGCAGTTTTTTAACTCATCGAAGTATTGAAACCCAAATGGTTGATCCAACAGAAAGGCCATTGCAAGGGCGCGTCAACCTGCATCAGCTCGAATTGTATCCTTGTTCGTAGTGCTTTAGATTCGGCGGGGATTGATACTGTGTTGTGGGTGCTTCGAATAGTGCTTCTAACAAATCCTTCCCGCCCCCACCCAACCACCCAGCTGCAAACACAAGATGCGACACGCAGTGGGACACTGTACACTAAAGCAGAATGAGTATGCTTGTCGACATGCCTGTGGAATAGATGTAAACATAGATGTTTAAACATAGATTTAATTAGAACCCATGCTGAGATCTCCAGAAGGGTGAATACCGCCGCTGGCAGTGTCCACAACCTTTGCATTGAATAAAAGCACTCGGCAAATTTGACATTGATTGGGTACACGAATATCTTGTGTTGACAAGGTCCGACGCCAGTGTGACATTTGCCCGGGAGGTTCTTCTGTAGTTGCCCTGACCGCTGCCTGACTTGCTCGCCGCAGGTGTTGGCAGCTTTGGACAAGAATCAAGTGAATGGGAAACCAGTGCTCAAGCCTTTTGAAGTCTAAATTTTTTCGACTTGGCAAACAGATGCGTTCGACATAGAAGATTCTTTGGACGCCACTCGACCGGCAACATGTGCGTCCTCACTTGGCAACAATCAATCAATGTGTAATGAACCGTTTCTATATCTTTGCAGTGCAAATCTGCTCTGCCAATATTGGTTTAGCGCGTCGCTGCAGCCACACGAGGGAGCGGTTGCGTCGGCAAGCCCAGCATGCGATTGTGCTGCCGTTGCATTCGTAACCCACGCAGTATATAGACCCAAAGCAAAGGCGAATTCTCCAACCGTGGGATTCTAATCGTGGGAAAATTTGCTGTGAACATAGAAGATGTAGCACTTTGGAGCCACCTGCCCTGAGTCCCTTAAAAGATCTCCCTGGCAACCTGGTGGGGCTTACATAGACATTGCTACATGTGTATATCTACACCCTTCATGGGCTCATGACCAGGTTGCCGCACACTTCTATTTTCTAAGTGTTGTGGTGTCTTGTATGATGTGCTTCAGGAAAATGTTCCAAATCCCTGGATGTGGAGAAAGATACGTGCCATAACGCAGAGTTAGGAGAGCCATTTCTTGGACATAGCCCCGCAGTATCCTGGATATGCATATCCTCCAACAGTGCCGGACCGGCACCTCTTCACTGTGTCCGGGATATATGATCAAATGCAGAATTCCTAGTGGGTTATACCAGGGAACGGTAATAGGTCATTCAATGGTGGAAACGCCTTCTTGGGCAAGTGTGACTTTGGATCTGACAAAGCCCAAATGGCGAACGTGCGTCCCATCGGAATAGAGTGCATGAGCGCTGTTCGATTCACCGCATGCTGACGGGCATTGTGCAGGCCATTCATGCATTCGGGTGATCGACGTTTCCCCAACTATTGCCGATGATTTCACTGATGTGACGGGCCCTGGGGCAGCCATGTAAGGTCGGGTCATTTGGAGATTTCGGGACAGCCAGCATGTGGATACATGTGAGTTGCAGCAATACCCAAGATGCTGGAGAAGTTAAAAATGAATGGATTGCCACAAGAAACCAATCTATGTCTTTGTACGCTTGTGAAGTGTGCATCAAACGTCAACTTGACGATTGATGCGAACGCCCCACGCCCCTCGAGTCTGTCAGGTCAGGTATGGCAGCACCTGGGGGCGGAAGTTGACGCTTTGGCGGAATTGCCACGGAACTGTTCGCAGCGCACGGGGACGAGGAAGGGCGGGATGGTGTAGCCTTCAAGTAAAAGGGCTCCGCGGCCTGGGCCAGCGTGGCCGTTTGCTGGACGCCGATGCCAGCCTCAGGGTGCTTTAGTGGCCCTGATACTAGTGGCAGGTGGTGCAGCTCATTGCAATTCATTTGAAAGGCGGCTGAAAAGGCGAAGATATTGGGGGCGGAAGGGGCTATGTACAACTTGTACAATACAAATGGTGCCGCCCAATCTGATCACAGCTCGCAGTTTCCACGCGCCCATTGAGAGAGGTATTTAAAGATATCCTCGGGGCTGGGACCAGGGCTGTTTGGCACCGAGGTTACCTGTTGTTTGAGAGGGATGTTGGGTGGAGTGCTCTCCCCCCTTGGTCGCTGTGAACCGCCCCATCGCTTTGTTCAGCTGGTGGCTTCCAACGCCCATGTAGCAGCACTACATGAATGCGGCCAACCATGGCCCTCAGCGTGCAGATGAAAGGCCACGTGTGTCTGGCGTTCTACTCATCAGGTATCCCGTTTCGGTGGACACATCAGCTCCGAACAATGGACTGCACACTTAACATTCTGTCTATTCAATGCACCCCTATACAGAACAAGGGATGCCCATAACCTGTGGAAGCACAAAACTCCCATGCACGGCAGCTCAGCGCCTACCCTGCTGCGATTCGCTCACTGCCGATCTTCTAATGACTACTGCGTCGTCTGCTCACTCTGAAAAGAGTCTCAAAATCTTGCTCCAGTGGAGGACTCTCATTGTGCGACAGATTTCTTCCCACTTGGGGAATCGATGAATTGCCTGAAGGCGAAAAGAGGCCAAGTGATACAGGAAGCCCGGGTGAAGTTTCAACATGTGACTAAAACTTTAAACTGAGGGAGGGGAGGACTCATCAAGGTTTACTTCGCTGCTGCATCCAGCTGCAGGCGCACCATCTGCATGGTTGGTCGTGCTGTAGGGTGCAAAGAGCAGCACTCCTGCATCAGACTCGCTAGCCCTGGAGGGCAGTCGCTGGGGACGATGCACGGGGCCTGGCCGCTGAGCTTCGCTGCCATGATCTCATTGTCGCTGGCTGTCACCCCATAGGGTGTCTGCCCAGAAGCCACCTCGTGCATCACCACCCCGAAGCTATATGTGTCAGACTGCGAGCTGTGCCGGCGCCCCTCGAAGATCTCAGGCGCAATGTATCTCACTGGTCTATTCAGGCTCCTTGCGGACAGCGTTTTCACGTCTTCTTTGTCAAGGGCGCAGCTGAAGTCGGCGATCTTCACTGTGCTGTTGTCGAACATGAGGAAACTCTCACTGTTCACAATGCTGTGAACGCAGTCATGCTCATGCACAAATTCTAACCCCAGTGCTGCTTCCAGCAGCACCTTCGTCTTCGACGGCCATCCGATGCGCCGATCTTGCCGAAGCCACTGCCTGAGGCTGGTATCGCTGCGCCCAAACACCAGCCGTCCTGACTTGGTTACTCCGTAGATCGGGGCCACGTAAGGCGTGTTCAGATCCTCCCTTTTCATGATTTCTGCCAGGAGCTTGGCAAAACTAATAATGTCAAGATCTTCCCCCTCGGTTGGGGCTGAAGGGCTGTCAGAGTCCAGCCATTTCACTGTCACTTTCTGGCCACAATACGTCGCTTCCCACGTCCCCTCAGCGACCTTCTTCTGCCAGACTATTACGTCTTCCTTCACAAGCTTCAAGCGCTTCATTCTTTCTTCATGCTGTTTTCTGACATTTTCCCACTCTGCCAGTTGTGCCGCTTCAAAGTCAAAAGGGGCACCATTGAGAATCCAGGCCAGCTTGTTACATAGATCTTCCTGATCTGCCTCATAATCTGTATCATTGGCTTTCTCCTCAATGTGGACCTCCCGCTGTTCTCGAATGTCTTTCGCCCATCCTCCAACAATTGCCTTCAGGGTGCCGCAGATCCGTTCAACAGCCCGTTTCGCATCAGCAGTACTGTAGAAGGTCTTCAAGCAGAATTGAACTCGATGGCGGTCAATCAACAAATCCCCTCTTGCCAATTCTTTCTTCACCAAGTCCATCGATTGATGCCAGGTTGCCTCCGAAATGCACACTGGACGAACGAGGGGTTCAGACAACAGCTTTCTGACTGGCTCTAGCTGATCCTTGAGAAACGTCATCAGCCTCTTGTTGTACCTCAACAGCTGAAAAAGTGAAATACAGTATTAGACTAGTTGGCAGAAGTGCAATGCTGTTAACCGGCAAGACTGAAAGCTCCTCACAGACATGAGCGTGTTGCTGTCCATTTGCACAAGTGTGTGTGCCAAGCAGGACACCTTCATGACAGACAGCAACAATACCCTTATAAGCAATGGGAGCAATGGTACATTCATGCAATCAATTCCAAAGCACACTTCAACTGAAATGCCCAATAGCACTGATTGCAAAACTGCAAGGATTGCATTGCCTTGCAGAGCATGCAGGAGAGGCCATTAGTGTTTTCCTGGAAGAATCAGAAGAAGGTAGTGGCCCACAAGAGCTTCCCAACTATATTTGTGTATCTGTGATGCAAGTCCAAATCCAAGCACAGCAGTGTGAGTTTGTAGCATTGCTATTCAGAATTGTGATCGTGTGTCTTTGCATGTGCACCAGTCATGTTCATGGGGATGGCGACATCAGCGACGGCGCCTTACTCATCTGGTTCGCCTACAAGAAGCAAGGCAAACCGATAGCCCCTCCCAAGAATGAAACCCTTTGGATGACCAGCCTGGACTACGATCGCGAGATGACTGTGAACCCCCAGTTGGGACAGGTGTACAGCATGAACTTGGTTCATTATCATGTCCATGGCAGTTACCAGATAATATACTGTGCTCTCATTCCACATACAAGAAACTTTGCACAGTTTACAAATCAGACAAGCTACCTGTGCATCTCCTTCGGTTTCGCATGACTGTGCAGCACTTTCCATCACGTGGTCATCGTCAAAGAGCTGCGCAATCTGAGCTGTCTTGCCAGTGGTCTCATACTCTGTCAAAAGAGTTTTGATCTGTGCAGTTGTTGATCTCTGGCCACTCTCCAAACCTTCCACTTTGGCCTCCAAGTATGCAACTCTTGCATGCGTCAGCTCTGTAGATACACAGTACCCAAACTTATTCACCCATTCCCCAAGCCGCCAGGTAGGTGTTGACCATGTCAAGCCTTTCCTTTGATTCCACAGCACAGCTATGGTAGCACATGGAGGCTTTGTTATGGTACAAGACAACTTCTCCAATATATTACCTGCACTTTCTGCAGAGCTTTCGGCCCTTTGATGTGTCTGTCCTTTGGTATACTTCCTCCAGTAGTTTCTTTCCAATGTACTTCGACAGGTGGACTGCAAGTGCATTCCAAGAGAATGTTTCGAGCAGCAGCCCCTTTCAACACATGCATTTCCTCAGCTTGAAGGCACTGCTCGCTTTACTACGACGACAAATGGTGCAAAGGAACTATTCAGCCTACACAAATTAATGGACATGTTGATGCCAGTTCAGCTGCCCATGAATCGCAATACACAGCATTGGCAACTGTGTGTGCAGAGATTTACCGGTGAAGGCAAATATGAGATCTCTGTCAATGTCTTTGAATCGATGCTTTCTCGGATCTTTCTTCAGAAGCTTCTTCAGCGCTGATTTCTTGTCCCACTTCACTGCCTCCTCCCTTGCCTCCTTTAGCTTTGCCTCCAACGCCACCACCCTGGCCACCACCTGTTCCAGCCTTTCCTTGACCTCGCCTGCCTCGTCGACGCGATTCAGGTTCTGAAATTCCTTCAGGATTTTGGCTATGCTGTCAACTCGGTCGTGCAAACCTTCTGTTCTTTCTTGACCAAATTTGGCAGCGGCGTCCACAATGATCGGCAGAATGCGCTCCACCGCTTCCTCGCATAGCTTGACAAGCACGCCGACGGCAACAGCGGCAACAACAGGTTCCGCCATTCTCTTTCTGCCTGACTTCCCAACCTCTGGAGTTCTGTAAGCGACGCACGCACAAGGGTCAAGACTTGGTTGCCTGCCAGCGTGACCTGCTGCAGTTGAAGATGTCGCCGATACGAAAGGGCTGGCGTGGAATGCGCGATAAGACAGCACCGCTTGGGACGTACAAGCATCGTCGCCGGAAAACAAGGGTCTGCCGACGGCCCCCGCAGGTGGCAAATCTCTGCGGAACACAATGCATGGCGCGCGACGAAAATGCAGGGCTGACTCCAGGCCCCAATTGACGGACCCGAGATTCCCACCTGGTGCTCCCTAAGCAGCCCCCACTCCCTCCACTCCCGTATGAGGCCGTCAACCCCACGGCCCCGCGAAAGCCCGGCTCGCTGTGGAGGTAAATTCACCAAGCTGCTCAGCCGCTCTGCCGCATCAGAATACCCACGGCGCACAACAATGGCAGCGTACCCACTGGTTCCCAGCGTTGGGCACCCGTGTTTGGTGGGCAGGTAGGTGGGCTGGGGTCGGGGGCGGTCTGGGCTGCGGCTGCAAGACCACTTGACAATCTCTTTCGACCTGCCTGGGGACCCCGACGTCACGCGCGACTGGATGATGGTCAGCAGAGGGCCCCCCCCCGCGTTCCATCAGCAAGGCACAACTGTAGGCCCGACGCGCTGATACGTAATTGACGTCAGTGAATGAAGTTAAACGGATATTGGCCGTTGGGAGGGAAGTTTACAGGAGGTGTTGGACTTGCTGGTACAAGTGCCGCCCCTTGGGATTAAGGGCGGCAGTGAGTGAGTCATACCTACCAAGAATTGGTCATGCTCACGTGGGACAGCCAGTGACCTAATGGCACGGTGTGTAATCAGGCTGGACACGTGGGGTGCCCACCGGTCTGTGAGTAACTTGTGTTGAAAGGTTACTCACAAGGGTTGTACCGGTCGGGGCATGTACAAAGAGGTGTGGCGAAAGGTTGCTCTATTCTTTCTTTCGCTTCGCCTTGGCGTCAAGCGCTCTCCCGAGCGCCGCTCGGTTTCCTCGTAGCTATTGGAGGAAAGCTACCGATCGCGACTGTGTTCGCGATAGCAATCCTGTCCTTCCGCGGGGACAGAGTCCCGCCCCTTGATGGGCGACGCTGCCGATCCTCTTGAAGCTTTGCGCAACGAGATTGTTGTCCTCAAAGCCCAGCTTGGCGCCCCCCCTGTGGACCCGGAGGAGGCGCGGCGGGCTGCGGTGTTGGAGCGCGTTTCTGCGCTTTGCCGCCGTTACACCGGCGACGGGAGCCAAGGCGTGTCTCATCACGCCCTTTCCTCTCCGGTGGAGCTCTCCCATTTCGCCAACAACCCGGTTCTCGCCCTGCCACTGCCTCCCGTCCAGGCGAGCCCTACCCGATTGGCGACACCGCTTGGGGGCAGGCCTTGGCATCGGGCCTTGGCCCTGGCAGCGGGTTTTTCCAGGAGATCTGTACGTGGGCCCCCCTCACCTCCTACCTCTTTGATGCTACCGGGACGCTCTACCAGCTCTTAGTTGCGGCGGACTTTGACGCCGCCCATCGGAGTGCCCTCGTCGGCGTCGCGGAGTGCTTCCACGCTATTACCGACGGCGCTTTGTGTGCCCTTCACGTCCATTCTCTGCGGGCGCGCCACGGAGGCGCGGTGGCTCAAGCGTTTCAAACCCAACTTCGTCTTGAGGGCGCTCATCCGACAGCTGTTCCGGAGCGGGTCGTGGCGTTCGACAAGTCCATTACTGACAAGCTGATTACTGCCCACCAGAAGCAAGCCGCGGCTGCCGCTGCCCGTGGGTCCTCAAGTTCCATTGGGTCTGGACCCCGCGGCCACGGTCGCGGTCGTGGCTCCCGCGGTGGCCGCTCATCTGGTGCTGGCCATGGCCGTGGATTCCCTCCGGGGGGCGCGTCTAGCGCTTCCGATTGATGGCGCCTCGCTACACCGTCCGCCGGCGCGCGACTGGCGCTTTGGGGTGGTGGCCGTCCCCCTCTCCTAGGGTTTCGGCCGCCCTGGTTTCCGTGCCCGACTCCCCGCCTGTTGACCTAACCAGGGACGTCGACCTGCCCGACGTGGCGCCTACCCTTCTGAACCCCCCAGCTTGTGTTACGGATGCCTTCCGCGGAGACGTCCCCGGCCCGCGCGGCCCGCCGGTGGCGTTCTCTTCGTCGTGCCCTCTCGATCAACCCTGAGGAATTTCCGTACATCAAGGTCCGCCGGGCGCTGGCGGCTTGGCGTTGGATCGGGGCCAATTTAACGATCCTTGCATGGATCAACGAGGGCTTCCGCCTCCCCTTGCTCCGGGATCCCCCTCCCTTCGATGCGGGGAACTCGATCTTTGTGGGCGACGATCTTCGGGAATGGCAACGGACCTTGACCAAGTACCTCAAGCTTGGAGCGCTTCGCCCGGCGAGCCATTCGAGCCATGTGAGCCGGGCTTTCATGGTCCCCAAACCCGACGGGACCAAGTGCTTGATCGTGGACCTGCGCCCCTTGAATCGCCACCTAGCCGATCGCCATGTCCGGATGGCCGGCTTGCGCGATTTGGCGTATGCCATCAAGCCGGGGGACTCGATGGTGGCTTGGGACATCGCCGATGCTTATTTTCACGTTGGGCTTCATCCCTCCCACGTGAAGTTCTGCACTATCCGAGTGAATGGGCTATTGTGGGAGATCCCCGTCCTCCTGTTCGGGCTGAAGACCTCGCCCTACGTTTTCTTAAAACTGGCTGCAGCCCTTGTGCGTTTCCTACGCGGCCCCCGCTTAGCCAGCGCCCGCCCGCTTCCCCGGTGGTGGCCGGGCCTCCTCGGCATTTGGCGGGCCAACAATCTGCTGTATGTCCTCCCGTACATCGACGACTTCCTCATGGTGATGGCCTCTTCTCGGCGGCTCCAAATTCTCTCTCACGACCTCCAGACAGCCTTGCGGGAGCTGGGGTTATCTCTCTAGGTCTCCAAGTCGACGTTGGCGCCCACCACTCGGATCAAGCAGCTGGGCATGGTGGTGGACTCGACAACTTGTTCCTTTTCGGCTCCGGCGGCCAAACTGCCCGAGATTCGCCGCGACGGCTTGACCCTTCTGAGCCTCCTTGCTCATCAAGCGAGACTGGTCAAGGCCAAGTTGTTGGCCCGTTTTTTGGGCAAGATTGCATTCCTTGGCCTGGCCATCCGGCCCGCCAAGTTCTTCACGCGGCATCTTCATCTTGCCCTCTCCACCAAACGGACTTGGCGGTCGCTGGTGCGTCTTCCCCGCCCCGCCATCAAGGAGCTCCGGTTCTGGACGGCCGTGCCCCTCCGCTTGATCAGCACCCCCTTTCGGCGGGTGCCCCATCAAGTGGTCTTGGCTACAGATGCTTCTCTTCGGGGTTGGGGGGCTGCCTTGACGGAACCGGTGGCCCCTCCCCCTCCCCCTCCACCAGCACTTGCCCGGGGTTTTTGGACGGCCCCCGAGCGGTTGATGCACATCAATGTGCTGGAGTTGGAGGCGGTGCTGCGGGCGGTCAAGACCTTTCTTCCCCGCCTTACCGGTTGCCAAGTGCAATTGGCGACGGACTTGCAGGTGGTTTTCCACTTGCTTCGGTCGATGCGGAGCCCTGTGGACCCCTTGTTTCACAGGTTGAGGACCCTCTTCTACGTGCTGGACACCGCGCAGATTGTTCTCCACCCCCGCTAGATTCCCACCACGGAGAACTCCCTCCCCGATGCCCTCTCTCGCGAGACCGACCATGAAGACTGGGCCTGTGAGGGCAGCCATCGTCTTCCTGGATATGTTTCTAGTGGCTGGGCAACCAGCCCGTGTTGTTAGAACACGTTAGCCAATAGGTCAGGTGCGGGAAGCGCTTGGCAAGTCCGGGAAATGATTATAAGTGGGGCCAAAGGGCAGCGGAGGCTGCGGGACAAATGGCAATGCAAACGGGACACAAACATTCGAACGCAAGTTGGCGGGCATGCCAGATTGAGGATGACTCACTCAGTTTCTGGCATGATCCTTGAGATTCCCGAGCGGGCGCGTATAAATATGGCGGCACCGCGCCCTTTTTGTAACCGTGAGTTTTCGCGTTCCTTGAGTCCCGAATTGGACCAACGAGGCTGGAGTTGCCGCCAAGGCTCCGCCTCCCCTTACAACTGGTTTCGGAGCCAGAGGAGCTGCCGAGGACACGAAGGCGCTCCGTGTTGACCTGACCCACGAGCAGAGGCGGCAGGGCCTCAAGGCTGCGTGGGGGGGGACTGGTGATACTCGAGGAGTGGCGCGGCGGGACGTCACGAAGTCGTCAACCGCGTGGGAGGCTCCACGAGGAGAGTATTGAAGTTCCGTTGTGCGCCGGAGTGTGACAACGAAGAGGCCGCCCCGAGGGCAACCAGGGCTGGACGTCACGAAGGCGCCAGCCGCAAGGCCTGCCCCGAGGGCGAGTGAAAGAAGAGTGAAGGGTAAAGGCACGGCTGGGCGTCAGGAAGACGTCAGCTACGCGGGCTACCCAGCGACCGGGATGAGCATACACGGGCAGCTTGAGGGCGACAAACCACTGTGGCAATTCGGAGAACCGCGTGGGTGCCGTATCCCAACAGAGCCGGCCCACTGTGTGTGTGAGGATGGAACAGAGTGCGTCAGGAAAATGACGGCACAAGTGGACGAGACAAGCTGCAGAACGCGGCAGGAAAAAACGGCTGTGAGAAACGAAGTGAGGCAATGGCGCGGAAGGCAAGCGCGATGGTGGAGCATTGTCCACGAAATGGGCCTGTATAAGGAGCCTCGAAGCTGGAGGGAGTACGACGACATAGTGGCAAGCTACAAGCAATGGGAAGAGGCGCAGAAGAGGAGTGATGAAATTGGAAGCTGCAGCCCTACGACACCCGACGAAATAAACCGAATACGGCGACAACAAGCAAATCTGCTCCGCTTCAAGGGGACGCTGGGTGGAAGGAAAGGATTGGTTTTGGTCGACAGCGGAGCGACTAGAAACTTCATCAGCCAAGAATTCTGTGAACAGAACGGCATCCGCTGGAG